TTGCAAAACCCCGTGGAAATGCATTGTGGCTGAGCTTCGGATTGGATCTGCTATTGCAATATCGAAACACAATGTAGATGCGTCTGATTATGGTCAACTTGACATTATGGCAATGTTGCAAATGTCGATCCGAGTAGAGTTCGTGGTGATTAAATAGAATTGGGATGTTTGTTATGGTATGGTAAATGGTAAACGATAAATGAGTACCTATAGCGAGTGATCGCATCCTTGCTGGCGAAAATCCAGGTGATGTTGGTTAAATATATGTAACTAGCTCTTCCCGCGATTTCATCTGCTTAAAATAGTTACTTTTATAAATTATGTTTTATAGTCTTAAGTCTTCCTCGATAAGTGATCCAACTAACGCAAGAATAATTTTTCAATTCGAACCATTACTACCTGAGATTAACTCATTTGAACAAACAAACTACTCATCTTTAGAATATTAGTATAGATTTATTATGCCAAGAAACCGGCATTTGTTTCAGAATGGGTTTGTTATTTATTGTTGTTAGAGTTTTCTCTCCTTCAAATAACTTTTGACGTACATTCAAACCAAATAGATGTAAAGACTTGCAGAAGAGGTGAATCCGTTTGCATAAACTTAGCATTATAGAGCTTGCTCATCGAGATAAATACATGACAACACTTGCATATGCAACAATACAAACAACATAAGAATTTAAAATAGTTCGCAACTTATGCAAAGTGGTCTGTTATGCCCATTGGCGGTTGAGGAAGTTCTAATGCTTAAAAGAGATTTATCTATTGATCTTCCTCCTACACAACAATGTGTTACCGGGCCATAAAAATCGCCCATGGACCTTTAGTAAAAGACAAATGCTCTTCTTGTAATTGCTTGGGAGACGTCCTATGTACGAATTCCTAGAAATATGGTTATTGTTAACTTTCAAAGTAGATTGAGATCATGTACTTGCCAATAAATATATTGATGACTGATGTTTTCTATAGTTAACCCTTGTGTTGTGTGCGCTTTTTAGAATGACGACATGTTAAGAAGAAATAATTAATTTTTGCAAACCTCCTGTTCAACTCTAAAAATTTAAGCTGACCCACGACGTCGCGTTCGTATTCCGTCGTTCTTGCAAGTTAATCTTAAAACATAGACATTTACTGTCGCGGATTTTTTTTAGGTCATTTCAAGATAAATTCTTCCTTTCTACATTTTTGGGTATCTTGAACCGTTTTCGCAGCGTACGCAGTGGAAACCCACAGAGTGAAAATAAATTTCAACAATACACGCACAATTGGTCTCGACCCTAAATTTAAAACAGTAGTTGCTGAGATAAATGTGTTCAAACAAACAAACTCTTCAGCATTATAATATTTTGATATGTATATACTAGTACATATATCTAAACAGAGAGAAATGTGAAACGAATTGGGATTTTTTTTATCTTTGAGATCTTCCGGTGCGCGCGCTGCGAAAACGATTCAAGAAACCAAAAAATATGTTTGAAAGAATGATTATTTTTTAAATTATCTAAAAAAGTGTATATTTTTTAAGATCAATAAACAAAAACGACGCGACGAAGTAGAGGGCACAGCTAGTTTTAGATAAGCGATTCGTACTTGTAGATGCGATATTTATTGTCATATACTCCTTAGTGACGTCTGTAATTAATGCAATTACAATTAAATGCGGTAAACGTGTCAAGGTTGAAGACGCTATGCGCAATCCGCATAACAACACCTGTTTCCGGGTCTGGAGATCACGCCATGATGATACCATACATATTAGCATATGTTACTGTAATCGACTAGTTTTTACACATCGACGTTTACAGCGTAAGGTTGAGATAATAGTAACGGTCTTTCTCCATTGATAGGATGAATTTTACACAAATTTATTGTGCTAGCTACCAAGCTATTTGTATTGTTTATTGAAGTCTATGTCTAAGATGATATCTTTAGTATAAACACTTTTACTATTAATAGGGATATTGTTTTGATATTTATAAATTGTAAGTCATTATAGAATTATATGATAGAAATTGTAAACTTTTTAACTTATTGGTGAAATGGCAACAATATTTCGTTAAAAATGTTTCTAAAAATCTATTGATAATTAATTGGCCGGGCTCGTTGGTAGCTTATAGGGCTAATAATCAAGGGTCCGTTGATATATATAATATGTTACTAAAAGATAAATTGAAATATTAATAATAAAAAAATATATTGGCTGGTAGTTACAGATTATCGAACCTAAAAGAATAAAGCTAAAGTTAATATTATATTTATATACTATAGACATTGATGAAGTGTCCGCACGTTATCAATTACGTAAGTGACCGGCCCGGAGACGCCTCAAGCGACACAACAAGACTACCAACATATTAACGAAACACTTCGACCTAATTTATAAACAGGCGTAAACCGTGTCGCAATACACATGACGTGGTCATGCACTCTTAACTTAAAACTGATACGAACTGACAATCATTATAAGGTCTAGCAGTGTCAGCGACTTCGGGAATAATTTTGGACATCAAGATTTTGTTTTTGTAAACCTCCTACTCATCATTATTAATTCGGTCGCGTCCATCTTAAAGCATAGACATATAGCATCGCGGAATTTTTTTCAGATCATTTAAACAGAGAATTTAGAATCATTCTATCTTGATTCGCAGAGTACACATCTGAAAGCCACAGAGACAAATAATTACCCCCATTTTTTCCACAAGGCACGCTGTTTCTGCGCTTCTATTAGCCACAGCGCAGTGTTTTACAGCTTAATAACCTTCCGCGATAAATGATTTAACCAACAAAAAAATATTTTTTCAATTCTAACCAGTAGTTCCTGAGATTAGCGCGTTCAAATAAGCAAACAAACAATCAAACTCTTCTGCTTTATATATTAGTATAGATTATGCCAGTTTCCCACAGATCTAATGTCCAGATTTGCCAGACGTGGCCTAAGTTTATCGTAACGCTTAGCCAGTTAAATCCCACATAAAAACATGTCATTGTATATCTCTAGTTAAAATTCTTTACCTCGGGGGTTTTATCTAAAATTGCCACATGCAAATCATAGGCCCTTCAAATATTTTGAAATATACTGCCAATTGTTCACAGTTACCCATAACTAGGAAAACCATAAACAATTCACACAACACTGATAACTCACGAAGTATTTAGGCAATTAAAGTGCGTAAATTACCTAATATCTTTGTTTAGTGAGCAATAAAACGTGTCAAAAAGCCTGACAAAATATTGATTTTAAAAACTTTTTGGTTAAAAGGGCGAAGTCTCACTAAAAGTGCTCAGTTTTCACCCTTGGGATGCGTAACCCTGAAAATTTGATTATTCACAAAATGTAACACGTGGAATATATATTTCTAACATTGGATCAAAGACCCCGAGGAATTTTCTTTCTTTTACTTCCTAAGGATAGGATATTATTATTTACATAATATATATATATATATTTAGCTTATTTCAAGCTACGTTGTACTTGCTAAAAGTCAATCGTGATACGTTAATAGCTCATCACTTTACTGTATAGACCTATTAAATATCTATTAACCTCGTTGGCATTTAAACATCATCTTCAGACGTCTATTTACCGAGGGTACTTGGTAAAAAAACTCTACTTACGTAATACATTCTTAGAACCTGTAGCTGTTTATTAAACGAGATTTCTGTGTCGTTATGAATTATGACTAGAGTAAAACGTTATATTAAATACAAGAGTTGTAGCGATAGCTGTTACTTAAATGTATGTGAAGCTCAAATAATAATTTGTCGGCTTGAAAACTTTTACAGGAGAAATAATTTGAAAATAAACCGTTTTAAGACAGTTTTTTATCATCTTTCCCCTCTAATTAAATTATAAGAGGTTGTTTTAACGCGCTAATCTCAAGAATAATCGGTTTGAATTTAAAAAAAATTGTGATGGGTAGAACACTTATCGAGGAAGACTTTAGGTTATATAACATAAACCAATAGAAGCCAAAAACAGTGAAAATGTGCGAAAAATGGCATACATGATTCACCTTTAAGGTAGTTTTTTTTTGTTATTTCTTCGTATCCTACGCTACGAACGGTCTAAAATCTAGAAAATATGTCTCGAAATACTATCATATTTGTAAAATCCCATTTTATTTATATTTCAGTACAGTCAGATCGGTCCTTGACCTTTAACAAACGTTAATTTCTTTGACAAATATTTTTGTTACAAAATCGTGCCTCTATCATATTTTTTGTGTTTATAGCATAATGATGGTAATATATTGAACCTTAAACATTTATACACAGAACATTATATTTTTAATCTTATTAGGAGTACCTTGAATGCGATGCGATGTTAAGAAACCTAAAAATATTACTTGTGGACTAAACAAGATGCACTGTCGGCCTATTTTGTATAATCAAAATTCCACAGACTGATATCGAAACGCGATTGAGCTGGACGGCTATTTTATCTGTGGACCCACTGGTAACCCAATTGCTAAGTTTATCACTTATGACAACATATTAATGGACATTTTTTGTTTAAAAAATAACGATACTAGAACCAATCGCCTGAAATATTTATTCATAAATTATTTAACAACTATAAATGAGGTATAAAAGTAGACTGTTTCCGCGTGTAGACTTACTTATGTTTGTCCCCCCTGGATTATTGCATTGCATTCAAAACGTCGGCCCATAGCTAAAATAAATTATAAATAAGTTAAATTGTATATACCGCGTTTGAATTCGTTGAGTGTTTTATTAAAAAAATATGTGAGATAAACATTAAAATTTAAACAATCACGTACATAGCTCATTTTTCTCGTAACGTGAAGTAATAGCGGACACAAAGTTTAACGTAGGGGACAGTAACTTGCTTAATACTGGCACCGAATCCGTATATACAATTTTGAGCCTTTTTTTGTTTATCCTTAGATCTGATTTTGCTTTCTACAGGGTTAGAATATTCGGTCTAATCCCTATTACCAATAATATTAAAAATATCCAATAATATTATTTTTCAGATGCAGACGTGGTTGGTTGTGGCGTGTGCCGCAGTTTTCGTGGCATTGGCTGCTGCCCAGAAACCTGGCCGATTCCTCTCGCTGCCAAACCCCCAGAAATGCGCCAGCAGTAAGTAGTAGACGCTAGCATATTTAAATGAAACACTTAACGGTATAGAAGATTAAATATACTAGTTAACTTAATTTTTTTAATCTACTCGTGTCTAAGGCATCGAAAATATCATGCCGTCGTAAAGTAAATTAAAATTATTTAAACCGTTAAAAATGTTTTATTTCGAATGATAATTGCTTTGAAATAGATTCATTAAATAAAAATCACTATTAACTCCTTAGCGCGGAAAGAAATGGCTCTTAATGTATTTTAGTAATCAAATAGACATCACTTTTGTTACCCTGGGGGGAATCAAACCAACGACCTCAGGAAGTGTTTTAAAAAGTGTTGCTTGCTGATTTTTCTAGAATTAGAGGACTTAATATTTAGTCCATCAACAAATAAAGATTTTAAAATGGCATTAAAACAAAAACAAATTACATAAGTTATATTATCATATCTTAAATCTCGATCTAAACTTAGCGTAACTTAACAAGCTAATAATTTATCATAACAATCGCATGACACGAAACGCTAATGTTATAATTGGTTAAGAATCAGCTGAAAAAGGTGATAAGTTATACGATATTCTTTATTGTGTAATATGAGAGTGAAAATTACTTAATAGGTACAACCGGTTTGAAGAATACAAGGCTTCTTATGTTGTTCGTAACCTAATCTATATTTATAAATATATCCGGTTCGTTCACAGACTGTTCTCGGTCAGTGGGACTGGGTTTGTGTTATTACCAATCTAAAGCTTTAAATTTTTATTCTGAATAGATATCTATACTAATACATAAAGCTGAAGAGTTTGTTTGTTTGTTTGAACGCGCTAATCGCAGGAACTACTGGTGGATTTAAGTAAAACACTTTAACCCCGTTTCTTCGCTCCTTTTAGTTGCATAGTGATGTTTGATAACCTAAATCCTTCCTCGAAAAAAAAAACGATTCTTACCAGTAGCACAATACTGTCTGTAGTTAACGCGAGTCGTTCACATTTAAATGAAACACAGTTTGGTTTTTAAACGGTTTAAAAAACCAAAACAATATGTATGAAAGAATGACTTCTCTTTAAACGTTAAAAAAAAATGTCCGCCACAAATATTTTTCAAGATGAACTTGAAAGGACGACGAGAACGAACGACGGGACGCGAACGACTCCGTGGTTAACAGCTATAATTTCTAAGGAGGAGGTTCGCAAAAACTAATTTTGACGCTCAAAACACCTATTATATGTGAATAACGTAATTAGTGTATGTATGTATGTCACGAAATCACTTAAAACTATCGTAATGTATATTTCGAAAAATGGTCTTACAGAGACTCAATTTGAACATGAAAATATGGCATTATTTTCTAGGCTTGTAAAAACATTTCTAAACGGAAATTAATTCTAGTCTACATGATTGTTTAATACGATATAATGAGCTCAAAAGATGTGATTCGATAAACACGGTTCTTCCGTACCGATTAACACACGGAAATGAATAAGTGTAATATAATAAAGTATTCAACGTTGGAAAATTACCGACGTCTAACATTCTCTTATGGTATACTAGCTGTGCCAGCGTCTTCGTCCACAGAGTACAGTTATTTTAGCCACAATTTTATTTGCAAACTTGCTCTCTTCTTTATAAATTATAACCGTTCCCACAATGTCGTTCGCGTCCCGTCGTTCGTGAAAGTTAATCTTAAACAATAGACATATAGTGTCGCAAATATTTTTTAGATCATTTAAAGAGGAATCATTATTTCCTATATTTTTTTTGGATATCTTGAACCGTTGACGCAGTGCACGCAACTTAGTTTGGTCGCAGCGTGATATTGTATAGCCTTCCTTGATAAATGCCTTAACCAACGGAAAAATATTATTTTTAATTTGAACCAGTAGTTCCAGAGATTAGTGCGCTTAAGTGAAATAACAAACATTTCACCATTTTCATTTTATATTACTTTGAGAGAACCACATATGAATATTATTTTTTCCGCGGGACTCGAACTCTATTACTTTTAGCACAATACCTTTAACCGTTTACAGAATTATAATTTAAAGAAATTTGAGGAAAGCAAGAAATACATAATTGTATTAAAATATTTATTAGACACAAAACAATAAACATAGGAAATTGTGTACAACTCACAATCCGAGAATTAGAAAGTTAACAATATTTGTTTGAGGCATTAGGTAGAAACTTATGTTCTACCATAAAGCACAACAAGTATAACATAAGTAGGCATTGTGCTTTCTTCTTTGCTATAAATTAAATAATTATATTAAGAACGTATTCTTACTTCGTAGTAATTTTAACTATCATTTGTGGTTTTCCGAAATTCCAAAGCTAACATTGATTAACAAACTATCTTCAGATGTTATATGACCGAGGTTTTTTTTCTACATTATAATGAGGCTTGCTTGTCCTTCTTTGTCATAAAAAAACCGTCAGATATTAACTACGAAAAATAAAGTAAAGATTACATGACCAACTGGATCTATCCATTACTAACAAATATATTAGCTTTTTATTGTTGTCAAAACTCAGAATTACCTTATGTTTGTTTGAAACACATTATTTCTAGCTATAGCTCAAAATAATTATAATCTATTCTACAATGTAACGTAATAACTTTAATATTTCAACCTTCAACTTAATTATTGTAAGCTCTATCGATGATGTATTTCGTCAGTTTTGTAAAGGTAAGCCAAAGGTTGTAAATCACACGTACAATAATAGGCCTTCTAAATAACTATTAGCTCTAGGCACTGAGTATTAGATTTTGTATCTAATACTCAGTGCCTAGAGCTAATAGTGAGTTACATAAATAATGTAAGTCACATCCTAAATTAAAGAGTTTAAAAGTAAATCATTCAAGTCGATGGATGAATTGAAAAATATATCAACACTTCTTTAGTTATTTATTTAATCTGTCTTTTAGTAGTCCTTTTTGCTTCAATAAGAAGAAACCATGTTACAAAATACGATTAAAAAGGTAAATAGTGTAAAGACATAATTGTAAAAATATCATACACATAATTATATATGTATGTTATATATAATTATGTGTATGATATTTTCGACTGGAAAGACATAAATTGACGTGATTGTACATCAATAGAGGGTGAAAATGTTAAATGAAACACTTTAACGGTTTTAAACGCGCTATATATTAGTTAAAATTATTTGAGAACTATTTTAACTATGACCCGACGTTTCGGGGGCTTTAGAGTAGCCGTGGTCACGGGGAGACACTTACACGAGCGTAATTAAAAACGAATGACAGCGCTTACCTTTGTTTCCATATACCATTTTGTATGCAACCTAGATTTTTGATAATAAAAAATGCGACCATTGTCCGACTTGGAGCTAGGCCACAAATAAGAAACAACGAACAATACCCCGCGTTGACAGGACTCGTGAGAAGAATATTTTCATTGTGAATATGGTTGATCAGCAAACAATCACAGTTCACACATCTGTCTGTCACTGCGCAAGGTCCCATCCGCAACAATCGAAGAAACATCGCGGCTCATTACCAATACGTTGATGTAATTTGCTTAATTAATTGCGTTCGATGTTGACACCGTACTTTATACTGTGTTGCAAGTATATAGCCTCCATAACGTTTAGGTTACTACAAGACTAGGTTTCAAATTAATGAAACTGAAAAAACATAACTTATTAGATCCAAAGTTTAACTATTGTAATTTAAAAGTTTCTATACCTACATTTAAATAGTCATTTCGATTAAAAAACTCAATCATGCAATGAGGAATTGGTAGTTCAATTTGCAAAGCATTTTATTCAAACTTAAATGATTTTAAAATAAATTTTTGCTATGTGTGTATTTTTAGTGTGCTGTTTGAAATGCGTAAATCCTGAAAATATTAATAAAATAAGAAAAGTCAAGAATGCCTTTATACAATTTAGTCAACTAAATGTTTTATATCAAAACTTAAATTATTTTTAAATATTGTTGTATAAAATATACGTGTTGTCCCATTTTAACTCATAACTTACGTAAATGGTTTATGTCAATCAAATATTCGAAAAACATAATTGTCTAAATAAAACACTTTAACGGTTTAAAACGTGATAGCCGTGGTCACGGGTCTCCCCTTCGGGCCGAAGTTAAAAATCATTTCCAAATAAATTTAACTAATATATCTCGTTTTAACCGTTAAAGTGTTTTATTTAGACAATTATAATTTTCGAATATTTGATTGACATAAACCATTATTTAAATGTGTACTACTCGCATAAACTATAGACAGTATTTAACATAATTGTCACTAAAGCATTCAGACATCAGTAAACGCAATATCAATTTGGGATTAAAAAGATGATGTCTTTTTTAACGTAAGTCCTATATTTCTGTTAGGAATTTATATACTTATTTATGTTTCATGTTGTTCCAACCGCGCTGTAATTACTATTATTGTTATCTCCGAAATAGAACACGATGTTCGACATTTGACTTTTAAAGATCATTACACTATTTGAATAAAATTTAACGCCATCTCGACGGTAGTTTAGGTGTAAAAAGAACATCCGGATAAGAAACCTTGGCCCACTTGGCACTACGAACCGCGTGACAGACGGACAGACTTACCGAGACCGGATCAAAGATGGCAGATGTTCCATGTCGCCTTAATGAGACTGAATTGTAAAATACGTACATATTAATTAAAAACCAAGTAGTAGTAGTAGATACATCAAGTCCTGCCCGAGTCGTATTTTTTTTTTATAATCGATTTTTAATGTATATAGTTCCATCATGCGCAGTGAAAATATTAATGTTTTAATATGTAAATATTGCAAAACATGGGCAGTCTTATAACAGTTGTAAACTTTATAAACATATGTTAGTTTTTATATTTCTAAAGAGTCTATTCACATTCACTATTATCATTAAAATCGAAATAGTTTGTAATTTAAATTAATTGTGAATAAATAAATTATTATTATTAAAAAAAAATTGCTAAAAGAAATGTTCATACAGAACTGCTATTTTTTGAAGAAAGCAACATTTACTCTTAGGACGACAATCTTGGAAACAAAAGGGTTTAATTTTAATAAATTATATATAATATATGCCGATCACGAGTTCGAACCCTACCCAACATATGTAATTGCTAAAGATATTTAAGTTTTAGCAATTATTCCGAAATTATTTTTCTCAATATTCGTTGTTACATTGCCGAGCCAGACATTGCGAAATACGGAAAGGTTAACATTATGTAAAAGTCCTCTTATTTCAACATACGATCAGAATTTAGCACGATTATTGAATTCGGCGGATCAATGTCACGACCGTGGTGCGTCGGTCATCCAGGTACATGACCCGCATCACTGAGGGTCACCTTTTAATGCAATGATGTACTTCTATGTATCTAACTTGAAATTATTCAGTAATTATTCGTGCCATTGCTTCTTATGCGTGAGGTCAAACGGTTATGCAACCTTGTCAATGCATTTTTACTTACGATCGCTTGATAAGTGAAGACGTACGTTTTGAATCTGTAATGGACGTTTCAACACTTTGCTCTTTGTTTTAAAATTATATGCAACCTACTTACCTACACTGTTACAGAGTTAAATAATTCTGTTAACTATTGATAAGCGAGACTTTAATTATCTTTATATGTTACGTAATAATTTTCCAATGCATCTAATACAACGTAATAATAGTTCCTTATCTTACATCTTTATTCTGAATATATTTTAATTTTTTATCTGTTAATCTGATGGTATCTGTTAAGAATCTTCAATATATACATTTGTCTGTGGTTGTCAAATGGCGCGAAATTATGAGTGTGTAGACTATATTTGGCGCGCAAACTTTCTCATAATCTATATTTTCGTTATAATCTACATTGTATTTATTTTCGCTTTACAGGACCAAAAGAATTCAATTACCGAGGAAATAATTACTTCTACAGCGGCCATGTACCCGCACTCGCTAACAGAAAAGTCGACTGGCTGGATGCGAGGAACATCTGCCGGGAATACTGTATGGACCTCGTGTCCATGGAAACCCAAGAAGAGAACAATCTAATCTTCAAGCTTATTCAACAAAGTAAGTTATACAAATTTTGTACCCAGTAGCGTAGCTAGGTGGACAAGGTCTACCTAATCCTAAGGCTGAGAAAGAATCGGATCCTCTCCCGTCTTTTAGTATTGCTTGAATTAGATGAACCTCCAAAATTATAAATAGCAACGATTTAAATAAAACACTTTAACGGTTTAAAATGCGATATATTAGTTAAACTTATTTGAAAATGATTTCCCCGTGACCACGGTTGCTGCAAAGCATCCGAAACGTCGGACCGAAGTTAAAAATCATTTTCAAATAAGTTTAACTTATATATCGCGTTTTAAACCGTTAAAGTGTTTTATTTAAATGTGTACTACTCGCGTAAACTATGGACAGTATCTAAATAGCAACAAGTTAAAAATTACTTTTCTTCTACGCTTATATGTTCTCAAAGATAAGGTTAGAGGATGTTCCGGGGCCCTGGTGCCCTGCACCACCTGGCCCTACGATAGCTACGCCACTGGTTGTACCTCACTATCTCAACACATTTAGTTTACAAGAAATATTGTAGTAGTAGTAGTGAAAACATTTTTTCAAAAGTCTCACAACGAACAAACACGATAGCATTAATTACTAACATATAATATGTTTCTATGATGTTAACTATGTTACTTTTACCTTTACCATATTCTTAACGTGTTTTTAAGATTTTGTTAATATACAAACTTTATTATTAACCTGTCCCCTTGAAATAATTATGGAAAAAAGTAGTTAACACTGTTAACATTTGTAATATTTGGTTGTGAATTACCAAATTTGTTCAAAGAATTTGTTTCCAAATCGTTGCCAGAGTTATGACATGTTATTCTACATTCGGATTGTAAACAGATGTACTAATGTTTAAATGTATGCCGAGTACGTAATTACAATTACAAAATTTCGTCTAACAGCATTTTTATGCTAAAGCGAATTGTTGTTACTTTAGAATTTATTTAACGTCTAATTTTAGACATAGTCCATAATTAAATTTAAGCACATTTGTACACATTTCAATAGAACACTTTTAACGGTTTAATACGAGAAATATATTACTTCACTTATTTCTATTTTACCCTTCGTGGCGTTTGGTCGGACCGTAGTTAAAATGAATCGTAAATAAATTTCCGATATATTTCTAACCGTTAAAAGTGTTTTATTTAAATATTTGATAATTCACGATATCCAGACATACTTATTAGATACCTTCTTATAATTTTAGGCTAATTACGCTGTAGAAAAATCGACATGTCACGTTTTGGTATCAATCAGTGTGTGGATTTTTCAATAAACATAATGGAAATTTATTGACACGTGCTAAGGCATATTGCTATAAACAATTGTCGGCATTGTGATGGATTTAAAATGGCTAAGCCCCTTCCAAAATCTAGTCCCATATATGGCTACCCCGATATCATACCCGATGCAAGTATTTTGTTGTTAAATTTGCATAATTTATCCACTTTTCAGATGATGTACCTTACATCTGGACATCTGGTCGTCTCTGTGACTTCAAAGGTTGCGAGTCACGCAGAGACCTGGAGCCCAAGAATATCCTAGGATGGTTCTGGTCAGCTAACAGGGAGAGAATTGCACCAACTAACCAGGTACTTTTATCTTTTATTCATTACATATTATTCACGATTTGTATAAAATATTGTAATTTAAAAAATAAGACATTTGTTACATTTTGAACCCCTTAGGTTTGTAAAAGAACTCGCTCGTCTGATCGGTCTGATTGTACGAAATAATTTCATGAGAATTTTATTTTTGTAACAGATCTCTAACGGTTGGGGTTACAACCCATGGTCGCAGACTGGTCACAAGAAGCTACGTCAACCAGACAATGCTGAATACGACATCAACGGTACCACAGAGTCTTGTCTCAGCGTCTTGAACAACGTTTACGGTGATGGTATCGCTTGGCACGATGTTGCCTGTTACCACGAGAAACCTTTCGTCTGCGAGGACTCTGAAGAACTCTTGAACTACGTTGCCAGCACCAACAGGGGCATTCGCCTTTAAACTCCCCAGAATTCTCAATAAATCTAGCAGAAAACACTCATAATATTGATAGAATCCATTCACAGTAAATAATTTCTATATTTATTATTCATTCGACCATTTCTCGCCATAGCCTAAGAGTGTTGTCGTGTTTTCTCTGCACTGCCGCTGACGTACAAAATTGTACAGAATAGGATAAGAAATTAAGTTTTAATTCGTAGTATAAGATAAATAAGGGAAGAATTTATATTTGTATATAAATAAAATTATAGAAATCACAGGTGTTGTTTTACTTTGTGTTTTGTACGCGACATGTAAAAAATACGCCTGCAAAAAATAGTAACGCTTTTTGCGTGATGAAATTTATTATATACAGGTTTATGCTTTTCTTGAGGTTTTTTTTTATAAATATAACAATGTACATACATTTTCCATAAATGAAATAGATTACTTTTGCAATAACGAAATATTAACTATTATTATCTGTGGTTATTTCAAAACATCTATCCTGAAAGAAAGATTTTAACAAAACGGTTACTGCATATCATGTTTTTCGGGCTGTTTAGCCGACTGTATGTATTATCTGAGACCGCGGCGGACAGATCCTTCGAACCATCGAGGAACAAACATCTCCTGATGATGGCCGACGTGAGCGAGAACGTATTCGCTCGCTCACGTCGGCCGTACAGCCCGAACAACAATGATAAGCTTAACGATGGCCGTGAAAGCCTTACGTAACTTAATAAGACCGTTACTATTTTAACGTTTGTATATAATTAAGAAGCTCCTTTCTTTTGAAGTCGCTTAAAAATCACTAAGATGCCTTAATTTGTCGTTTCTACTCAACGCTGCAATGAAATGTAAAAACATTTATTATTATTATTTATTATGTTTTTAAATATGTTTAACTTAAATATTGAGATTCAAATTGAAATACAATTCAAATATGCAATAGTGTTTGTTTAGTTTTTTTCTCTTTGTTACGAAATTCCTGTTAGTGGCGTTATGTTAAAACTCCACAAGATGGCGCTATATTCACAAATGTTTAGTGATCAAGATGGTGTATTTTTTTAAATCTTTCAATGATTTGATTTGAACTTAAACTCTACTCTAATTTTTCCTAATTATTTATTTACATACAGTAGGTATATATATTTTATTTTAATTAATTTGTTCTAAGAATCGAACGTAGATGTCGCTATTATAAGCGAACGCAAATATTTTAAAAGTGCGCTGTAAGTTGCATTATATTTAATTACTAGCTGTGCCAGCGACTTTGTCCGCGAGAATCGTTATTTTGGACATGCAAATTAGTTTTTGCAAACCCCCGTCATCTTTATATAACGTCGATCGCATTCCTTCCCAACATTCTTGCAAGTTAATCTTAAAAGATAGACATATAGCGTCACTTTTTTTAGATCATTTAACCAGGAAACCATTCTTGCATACACATTTTTTAGGTATCTTGAATCGTTTTCGCAGCGTACGCATCTGACGCCCACAGAGATGAAAAACTTCCCCCGTTTTGTTCACATTTCCCGCTGTATCTTCGTTTCTATATAGCCTATAACCTTCCTCGATAAATACTTTAACCAGCACAAAAATATTTTTCAATTCGAACCGGTAGTTCCTAATATTAGCGCATTCAAAGAAACAAAAAAACTCTTCAGCTATATATTAGTATAGATATCTCAACAAGATACCTTGTAACGCGTTACTAGCGAGGTCTTGGGGGTCTAACCTGTAAAACACTGCATAATTTGATCAACTACGAAATTTTGCATAAAATTTATGAGAGAAACATCCCATGTCCTGCTTGTAAGAAATAGAATTCACTGGATTTGTGAAGTAATATAGTGGTCGTATGAAACTATTACAAAAGTTTGTATCCTTATACAATATTCAAAGCAATAATATTGAAGCTAAGCATTGCATCGTGCTATTGTTTTTCAAAATAACGTATAAATCCCGCCATTTTAGTATTCGCTTTATAAGATGGATTTATCCTGACGTCACTCGATTTGTATTCTAGCTGATTCCAAACATCAATGAAGTCAGTTTAAGACAAAAGTCTTATATTTCTTCAGGAAAGTTTTCCATTTCGCGTCTTTTATCTCAAACGCTGTTTGTATTTTTATTTGAATTATAAATGTGTATGTATTTGTCTTGCCAAGTGTGCGCTTATGTACTTTTGCGATAACCAATTATTTTGCATAAGTTTTAATTTATAATTATGCATTGTAATTTGCATATCAATTGTCATTAATTACATAAGCATTCGCTGGATTCGAATCTTGAACGGTCGGTCGGGTTGCTAATGAATAATATTTGGTCTTGTTCTATATAAAGTGATTATTTATTCACGTATTTGAAAGTTTAAATGACAGGGCCCAATAGTTTATATGCCGCTGTTTAGTCTATAAATTTGAAACAATTTTTATATCCCTTAGGGACTTCTATACAGTCCGCGATTAAAACAGTCGTGAGTAGCATTTATGTGAACGCCGAGTAGGGTCTTTGTCACGAGGGTCGCGTCGGTCACGCAGAGGTTAAAGAGTGTTGGCGCGTGCCGACCGAGGTGTGGTTAGGTATGAGGCAGCCATGATGTGGATGCGAAGCGAGACCGGCGGCTCTGCCGACGGCTCCGGGCGGTCGCACGGAATGCAGCGCGGCGCGGGGTGCGGACGGGGGCCGCTGCTGCCGCGGCGACGATAGCTGCTGCCCGCCAGTCCGCCGCGCGCCACCCGACACGAGTGTTGTACGCGTAACATCACCATCGCCCGCACCTAGGTAAGTTTTGCACGTGACCTTCATCTTGTTTACCTCTAACACTCCTCCCTTTAGAGAACAGAACTCGCTGCGTCTAACTACCTGTGGTCGATCCCTCGAATCTTTAACATATTAACGTACGGGCGACACCGACGACGATCCAAACGTATCCCTAAATACTTACCGGTCAACGCTTCTGCGGCTTTATCAGTGTTACATATTTATTATTTGTCGGCGTACGGTGAGGTCAGGAGACGAGCGTGGCGATTTGCGCCTTATCGCGAGAGCCATAGAGTCGCCGACTCGCGCGGTTGACAGAGCAAATGCGACCCTGGGATTTCGCTCTTTGCTGTGCTCTTGCGTCGTTCTATTTAGTACGTGTAGGATGGTGTAGGTATGTAAAGATACAGGCACGTCTGCGCATCTCGTTATACGTCGGGTTTATCACGGTTTGATCCCAATTTAGAGATCTGTTTGTCGCGAATATGTCGCTCGCGCAGCAATGCGATCTTCGGTTCGCTGTAATGGTGAGCTACAGGAATGCCCGATGTAGCGCAATTAGTCAGCTGTTATCTGAACGCCAGGCGAACGTGACTTGCCCATATACGCTCGTTATTTCTGAAGTATTTCTACAATCGGTTGTTGCAATGACGTACCCGTACCTACCTAGTCGTCGACGCCGCGTGACTTCAGCGGCCGACGGTCTAGCTCTGAAACACAATCGCGCAAAATGCAAGCGGCAAAATACGGTTTGAAATATTACGTTAACGAAATGAAAGAACGCGCCCGCGGTGTAGAGTTGCCGAGGGATCCGGCACTCGTCCGGTGTTGTCTTCACCGGCAAAGTGGCTCGCGTGTTATTTACGCGCCGCACGCGATACTCGCCCTTATGGGACTCGCGAAACGCCCTAAAATTGTGCGCGTCCGTAATGGTGCTTAGTATACCCTAGACGCATCGCTCACACTGCTGGCGGCCTTGTTGAATTCAATTTACGCTAAAATAGCACGTAAGCGATTGTGAATAGGGATATATCCGCCTGCGTGGTCGGGGGCACTAACAGTGTTTCGTCGTCGCTAGGTCGGCATCCCCGACGCACAAGAGAAAGTCGGGGGTGGGTGAGAGGCGGGGTGGCAGCGCACCCCGCAGGAGTGGTCGACCCGGGACTTCCAACGAGGATTTGCTAAAACTGCTGCTTTTATGCCGAGGTCGTTGTAAAATAACTATGTTCCTTAAGTATTGCTGTTAGATGAAGCACAACAAAGAAGTAGTCTGAAATATTAGGCTTTTATCACTGCACTCTGATATAATCGATTGGTAACAGACAATGTTTTGATGTAACAGACAAAATTTGTCTGTCACCAATCGAAGAAGGAATACGAAAGTTTAATTTTACAACACAGTTTCGTATCCTATTTTGTTCCTTCAAAAATGCTCAGTTTTAGTACGTACTTCTCCATCTGTGTATATAATAGATACTTAATGACACGTTGAAGATATCCGATGTATCATGTCAGCATATTCAGCTCGTGATCACGCCAATGCCAGTCGAGTCCGCCCCTGACACACCTTTTAAGTATTTTGTTAATTCTTAGAACGCACGCTTCTGTAACAGCTTATAAGATTAACGCAACCCTAACAAAGATAATTAACACTAGACTTCAGAACGTAATCACAATGATTACAAGTTAACGGTTGTAGATGTCTTTTTCAGTTAAAACTCCTTAAAATCGCGACAAAGATTTATCGTAAAAAGAGATTTCGGAATTGGGTCTGATTAAAAAGATTCTAAAATATATAAAATCCAACCTACTCATGGTATGATATGGTCAATTATATTTTACGTGACGTTAAATACAGTATTAAGAACCATTTTTGCAATAATGAAAATTAAAATCGCAGATTCGATTGATGCTAGAACGATTGTTACATTAAGTGTGAATTAACAACTCGTGAGTGTAAATTTGAACACAAAAAACAAACGTTCGCAAAAGTGTATTTTTTTTTTTACTAATAAATCAATAGGTATTGTCCATAAAAAATAATATTTCACGCAGTATCCCAGATCCAATTAACTACAAAATACCAAAGGTTTTGTCAAGCTATATATGTTACGAAAAGTCATATGTATGTTATTTACAATTGTCAATTTATACTGTCAAAAACGTCGCAATTCAAAATCCGTGCAGTATGTGATTTAACATTATTTATGAACAATTTGTATCGTAAATCAGTCTACCGCAGTTATTACCAAAACATGATCTAATTTTTTATGACAGGACAAGCATAGTGTTCCATTGATGGAAATACGCCATCTTCGCATGATGCGCTGTCGGCCTTTTTTAGCTTTGGACATTCGGAAATACACAGACTGAAATCGAAACGCGAATAAAATAAATAAAATTCAAAAACTTGTTGCAAATATTGGGACTCTAATATAAATTTGAGTGATAGCCATACCTCGCTCCCATTAAACAAACGAGCCATTTTGTCTTTGAACTGTGTACAGAAACGAACTAATTAGTGTTTAGTTAAAATCGCGTCTTCACAACCCATGAGAGTTGACAACACATTCACTTGCTTTAAAAGACCTTCATGTAAAAAAACAAGTACTGTTAAATTTAGACCAGCAATTATATAAAATGACTACTTATATCTTTAATACGATCATTTCAACATTTTGAAAGCCCTCAGCGGAGCACAGATATTCTCTCCTATATAAACGTTTACATGCTTAGACCCACCACACATCTCATAGGCTAATTGGTCTTAACCAACCTCCACAAGTAGATGAATCCAACTTCAAACCTCAAGAAATAATTCTACCAAAAGCCCTTTACGGAATTCGAACTCAGGACCTTGTCATCTGAAGTCTACAGTATGCAGTTATATTAATTACAAGTTGTGCACGCGACGGCGTCTGCGCAGCATAGTTATTTTGGGCATCAACATTTGTTTTTGCAAATCTCCTCATCTTTACAAATTATAGCCATTACCCACGACGTCGTCCGCATCCCATCGTTCTTGCAAATTAATCTTAAAAGATATATAGCTATACGTCGAGGACGTTTTTGTAGATTAAAAGAGGAATCATTCTATGATACATATTTTCTTGGTATCTTCAACCGTTTTCGTATCGTATGCTTTGAAAACCCACAAAGAGTAATTTTCCCCGTTTTTATACATTTCCCGCTGTTTCTTCGCTCCTATTAGTCACAGAGCAATGTTTTACAACCTATAAGCCTTCCTCAATAAATGCTCTAGCCAACAGAAATTTTCAATTCGAACCAGTAGTTCTCGAGATTAGCGCGTTCATACAAACAGACTCTTTATAAATTAGTATTGGTACCTTTTTAATCCGTTGGTATTTAAGACGTCTTAAATCTTTTCTATTTCATATGTGTGTTAAGATGGTATATTTAATATTTCTTTGAGGGTGATAATTCGTTGAAATGAACGTAATCGTAATAATTGTCTTCAACCTCTTCGGCGAACGTGGGATTTTTTTCCAGGCGGAAGGTCCAAAACTGAACAAGGGCATTACGTAAATCGTATCGCTGGCGGTCACTGTGGCCAGTCAGTGTGAAAAACCCTGATAGATAGCGGAAAAAGAGATCTAAGAAATACGTACTTTACCCGACATTTGTATCAGTTGGGAAATGTCTTAGAATATAGCAGCATATTTAAGAATTTAACTGAAAATGAAGCCTTCGAATGTTGTAAATTTTTTTCTCTTTAATTAAAGACAAAAAATTTATATTTTTAAATAAAAAAAAGACTTAAACAAAATTGTTAAATTTTCTCAAATGTCAATGGCAGAATATGTTAAAACGTTGTCACGCCGTGAATAATAATAATAATAGAATAATAATAAACTCTTTATTGCACAAACATAGACAGAAGAACATGGATACATAGAATTACCTATACAAAATGAAACATAAAAAAAAAAAAAAAAAAAAAAAAAAAAAAAAAAAAAAAAAAAAAAAAAAGGAAAGGGGGGGGGCGAGGGGGGGGGGGCGGGCCCCGGCCCCCCCCCCCCCGCCCCCAACCCCCCCCGCCACCCCACCCCCACGCGAAAAACCCCCCCACCCAAACCCCTGGAGGAGGGGGGGGGGGGGGGAAAAAAGGAGGGGGGGGGGGGGGGGGGGGGGGGGGGGGGAAAAAAAGGGGGGGGGGGGGGGGGGGGGGGGGGCAAAAGGGGGGGGGAAAGGGAGGGGGGGGGGGCGGGGGGGGGGCCGGGCCCGGCCGGGGGGGAAAAAGTTTTAAAAAATTTTTTTGGTTTTTAAAATTAAAGGGGCCTTCTGGGGAAAAAAAAGGGGAAAAAAATTAATGTTTTCAAAATGAAACATGTTTGTGCAAAGGCGGCCTTATCGCCTATGGCGATTTCTTCCAGGCAACCTTTGCATGTAGAAATAAGAAATAAAAAGATAATTTTAGTAAACAATCAAAAGTCAACATAAAAAAATTAAATTATACAATACAGTGAACTGACCAAATAGCGAATATTAAATTTAATAATATAAAATATACCCTTTAAATGGTACTTATATTATTAACCCAAAAATATACGATGTAACTAGGTATGCTTCTTAACCGAACTTACCATTAGGTATATCTAAATTCTGACCGGGTCTACGAATTACAGATGAAATCTTTTTCAAGTCTAATTGCGTTTTAGTCTGTGAATTTCCGAATAAATAAGAAAATGGCATCCCTTCGCGATAAAGAAGTTGTATATAAGAAAGTCTATCTTTTATCCTTTTTAAATCTAAAAATTATAATTAAACCTACAAAAGAATTAAACCAGAGAAAACAAACATTCATGTAGCGTGGTCGGCTCAAAAGTACCAGGATAGTAGACGAACTGCGAAAGTAACGTGGGCATAATACTATGCTCTTAGTTAAGGCGTTACGAAAGCAGCATCCAGTGCTAGCCCCCGTGGGAATCGATCCAAGGATGCTTTTTGTATGGGCCGCAGTCTTCCCTTGCCAAAACGAGTGTTACTTCGAAAAATGTATTTCTTTAGTGCGTTGAGTGAGATTTTTTACATGCTCGTACTTTTTACCAGCAAATTCATAGCAAAAACTAGTCAAACTATAAGATGTACTATTTTCGCATAGATAATCCGTACGTTTTACTATCGAACTCTTTACATTTATATAAAAATGATGTTAATTCTAAATCATTCCCAATACAGATTTAAAATCTTTTTTTCTAATAACGAAAGTTCAATTTATCTAAGGAGATGTAAAAATATCCACGTTGACATTTGAAGGGCTCGTGGGTCGAGGTAGGTCGTAAGTTCGATTTCCAACAAGTCTCACCTAGTAGACTCTTCTAGTACATCTGGACAGTAATTGGGTGGTATGTACTTTGAAATTCCAAAGTCGGAAGAGCCGTGAAATGTAAATTCACATTTTTTTTTAATTACAATCCTTAGATTTCTGAATGTCCCAAGCAAAGATAGCACGACAGCACATCATGGCTGGGGTTTTTCATCTTCCATCGAGTGTAGCCCATGCTTATCTATCCGTCTATCTCATACAAAATCTTTTACGCAACACTAACGCCCTCTGTACAGTATTACAACTGAGTAGAAACTTGGCAATATAAAATATAACTCATAGCTAAATTAAACATTTATCTTCCTCTCTGACGATATAACGACACTGTCAAAAATACACAGTTCGAGTAATTTACAGATAGGTACTACATAAGCCTATCCGTATCTAATCGGTCGATGGTTAGCACTTAAAATCCATGCTAATATTATTAAAAAAAAAACGAAAGTGTTTGTTTGTCCTCATCTAACTGTACTGCCATAAAGTCGTAAATTTTGATAGTTAAATTCGCTAACGTAAGGTACCTACATACTAGAGGGTATACGAATATAATAAATATTTTTCAATTAGACCGGTTTTGTAAGCCATTCTTCTAT